GGAGGGTCCAGTTGCATGTGGGGCTGCGTAAAGGCTTCCCTGGGGAGTTCATTTGTACCCAAAGCCTTCCTCTGGGGGCACTTTTCCTGATGGGCGAATTAGGCTTTTTAATGCATTTTCTGGAGCCCGAGTTTTCAGTCTTCTGCCATGGTGGCTAGGGGTATATTTAGGGTTGCTCATAAACATGAACAGGAAGGGTCCAAGTTGCATGTGGGGCTGCGTAAAGGCTCCCCTTGGGAGTTCAGATGTACCCGAAGCCTTCCATTGGGGGCACTTTTGGATGGGCGAATGGGGCTCGTAACACATTTTCTGTGGCCCGAGCTTTCATTCTACTGCCAGGCGTGCTAGGGCTATATTTAGTCTTGCGGTGAGAAGGATTGACCCGGGTGGGTCCAGTTGCATGTGGGGCTGCGTAAAGGCTCCCCTGGGAGTTCACTTGTACCCAAGCCTTCCTTGGGGGCACTTCTGATGGGTTGAATAGGGGCTTGAAACGATTTTTCTGTTGCCCGAGTTTTCAGTCTTCTGCCATGGTGGCTAGGGGTATATTTAGGGTTGCTCGTAAACAGTGAACAAGGAGGGTCCAGTTGCATGTGGGGCTACGTAAAGGCTCCCTGGGGAGTTCAGTTGTACCCAAAGCCTTCCTCTGGGGGCACTTTGGATGGGCGAATGGGGCTTGTAACACGTTTCTGGGGCCCGAGTTTTCAGTCGACTGCCAGGCGGGCCAGGGATATATATAGGGTTGCTCGTAAACAGTGAACAAGGAGGGTCCAGTTGCATGTGGGGCTGCATAAAGGCTCCCCTGGGGAGTTCACTTGTACCCAAAGCTTTCCTCGGGGGGCACTTCTGGATGGGCGAAAGGGGCTTGAAACGCTTTTTCTGTGGCCCGAGTTTTCAGTCTTCTGCCATGCTGGCTAGGGTTATATTTAGGGTTGCTGTAAAGAGCGAACACAGAGAGTCCAGTTGCATGTGAGGCTGCGTAAAGGCTCCCCTGGGGAGTTCAGTTGTACCCAAAGCCTTCCTTTGGGGGCACTTTTGGATGGTCGAATGGGGCTGGTAGCACGTTTTCTGGGGCCCGATTTTTCAGTCGTCTCCCATGCGGGCCATGGTTATATTTAGGGTTGCTGTGAAAGAGCGAATACGGAGGGTCCAGTTGCATGTGGGGCTGCATAAAGGCTCCCCTGGGGAGTTCACTTTTACCCAAAGCCTTCCTTTGGGGGCACTTCTGGATGGGCGAAAGGGGCTTGAAACTCTTTTTCTGTGGCCCTAGCTTTCAGTCTTCTGCCATGGTGGCTAGGGGTATATTTAGGGTTGCTCGTAAACAGTGAACAAGGAGGGTCCAGTTGCATGTGGGGCTGCGTAAAGGCTCCCCTGGGGAGTTCACTTGTACCCAAAGCCTTCCTCTGGGGGCACTTTTGGATGGGCGAATGGGGCTTGTAGCAGGTTTTCTGTGGCCCAATTTTTCAGCAGATTTCCAGGCAGGCAAGGGCTATAATTAGGGTTGCTGTGAAAGAGTGAACCCGGAGGGTCCAGTTGCATGTGGGGCTGCATAAAGGCTCCCCTGGGGAGTTCACTTGTACCCAAAGCCTTCCTTTGGGGGCACTTCTGGATGGGTGAATGGGGCTTGAAATGCTTTTTCTGTGGCCCGAGTTTTCAGTTTTCTCTCATGCTTGCTAGTGTTATATTTAGGGTTGCTTGTAAACAGCGAACACGGGGGGTCCAGTTGCGTATGGGCCTGCATAAAGGCTCCCCTGGGGAGTTCACTTGTACCCAAAGCCTTCCTCTGGGGGCACTTTTGGATGGTCGAATGGGGCTTGTAGCACGTTTTCAGGGGCCCGATTTTTCAGTCGTCTACCATGCGGGCCAGGGTTATATTTAGGGTTGCTGTGAAAGAGCGAATACGGAGGGTCCAGTTGCATGTGGGGCTGCATAAAGGCTCCCCTGGGGAGTTCACTTGTACCCAAAGCCTTCCTTTGGGGGCACTTCTGGATGGGCGAAAGGGGCTTGAAACGCATTTTCTGTGGTCCGAGTTTTCAGTCTTCTACCATGCTGGCTAGGGCTATATTTAGGGTTGCTGTAAAGAGCGAACACGGAGGGTCCAGTTGCATGTGGGGCTGCGTAAAGGCTCCCCTTGGGAGTTCAGTTGTACCCAAAGCCTTCCTCTGGGGGCACTTTTTGAAGGGCGAATTAGGATTTTAACAGTTTTTCTGTGGCCCGAGTTTTCAGTCAACTGCCAGGCGGCCAGGGCTATATTTAGGGTTGCTGTGAAAGAGCGAATACGGAGGGTTCCAGTTGCATGTGGGGCTGTGTTAAGGCTCCCCTGGGGAGTCCAGTTGTACCCAAAGCCTTCCTTTGGGGGCACTTTTGGATGGTCCAAGGGGAAGCGCAATGCGTTTTCTGAGGCCCGCTTTTTCAGTCTTCTCCCATTGCGCCGAGGGCTATATTTAGGGTTGCTGTGAAAGAGTGAACCCGGAGGGTCCAGTTGCATGTGGGGCTGCGTAAAGGCTCCCCTGGGGAGTTCAATTGTACCCAAAGCCTTCCTTTGGGGGCACTTCTGGATGGGTGAATGGGGCTTGAAACGCATTTTCTGGAGCCCGAGTTTTCAGTCTTCTGCCATGGTGGCTAGGGTGTATTTAGGGTTGCTGTAAACAGTGAACACAGAGGGTCCAGTGCATGTGGGGGCTGCGTAAAGGCTCCCCTGGGGGGTTCAGTGTACCCAAAGCCTTCCTTTGGGGCACTTTGGATGAGCGAATAGACTTTTACAGTTTTTCTGGGGCCGAGTTTTCAGTCGACTGCCAGGCGGGCCAGGGCTTATAATTAGGGTTGCTTTGAAAGAGCGAATACGGAGGGTCCAGTTGCATGTGGGCTGCATAAAGGCTCCCTGGGGAGTTCACTTGTACCCAAAGCTTCCTCTGGGGGCACTTTGGATGGTCAAGGGCTGAAGCGCAATTCGTTTCTGAGGCCCGATTTTTCCGTCTTCTCCCATTGCGCGAGGGCTATATTTAGGGTTGCTGTGAAAGAGCGAATACGGAGGGTCCAGTTGCATGTGGGGCTGCATAAAGGCTCCCCTGGGGAGTTCACTTGTACCCAAAGCCTTCCTTTGGGGCACTTTTGGATGGGCGAATTGCTTTAACAGTTTTCTGGGGCCGAGTTTTCAGTTTTCTGCCAGGCGGGCCAGGGTTATATTTAGGGTTGCTTGTAAACAGCGAACACGGGGGTCCAGTTGCGTATGGGCCTGCATAAGGCTCCCCTGTGGAGTTCACTTGTACCAAAGCCTTCCTTTGGGTGCACTTCTGGATGGGTGAATGGGGCTTGAAACGCATTTTCTGGAGCCCGAGTTTTCAGTCTTCTGCCATAGTGGCTAGGAGTATATTTAGGGTTGCTCGTAAACAGTGAACAAGGAGGGTCCAGTTGCATGTGGGGCTGCATAAAGGCTCCCTGGGGAGTTCACTTGTACCCAAAGCCTTCCTTTGGGGGCACTTCTGGATGGGTGAATGGGGCTTGAAACGCATTTTTTGGAGACCGAGTTTTCAGTCTTCTGCCATGGTGGCTAGGGGTATATTTAGGGTTGCTCGTAAACAGTGAACAAGGAGGGTCCAGTTGCATGTGGGGCTGCGTAAAGGCTCACCTGGGGAGTTCAGTTGTACCCAAAGCCTTCCTTTGGGGGCACTTCTGGATGGGTGAATGGGGCTTGAAACGCATTTTTTGGAGACCGAGTTTTCAGTCTTCTGCCATGGTGGCTAGGGGTATATTTAGGGTTGCTCGTAAACAGTGAACAAGGAGGGTCCAGTTGCATGTGGGGCTGCGTAAAGGCTCCCCTGGGGAGTTCACTTGTACCCAAAGCCTTCCTCTGGGGGCACGTCTGGATGGGCGAATTGTGGAGGAATGGGTAAGTGAAGTAGGTCATGTGGATGTTGAGCAGCTGGGAGGCCGCGAGGTAACAAAGTATCGAACACAGCTCAAATGAGCCTGAGAAAATACGTAAATGCAGCCTGGGAAGGAATGTAAGTTCTGGGAGGTTTTAGGGAGGTTTCAGGGATGTTTCAGGTACAAGAATGTGATATCTGTTGGTATGCTGGGAAAGTACTAACTGTGTTATTTTGGTGGGAAACTAGCTGATAGAATAGAGAAATGCAGTAACCAATCATGAGCTTAGCTTTTGCAATATGTATGAGCTAATTATATTGAATTAGATAAAAGACGACTGAGCTATCCAATAAATCGAAGTTCACTGATCACTCATATTGAGCGTCTGTGTCTTCCTTCCGTCGACAACAAATGGTTTCGCAACAAATGGCGCCCGAACAGGGACCTGCAATACAGGAACAGGGACCTGCAATACAGGAACAGGGGACTTCGCTGGAGTTGAACCTGCGCTGGAATTGTACCTGCGAGCCACGGTTGGACGGAATACAAGGACCGGTCCTGCAACGCAGCTCAGGAGGTGAAAAGGATTACAAATTGCTGAATCCCCGCACCCGAGGCCTGAAAGGTGAATGGAACCACACCCGCACCCGCAGCTCGGAAAGGGAGTCCTCGCACCCGGGATGAGCCTATAGAGGGTCCCGCCGGAAAGCGTCGCCGAGGTCTTTGCAAAGGCTGCAACGGTACCGACGTATATAAAGGTATGGAGAGACAAGCGGCGTATAATTTGCTCAAATGCTTTTTAGAAAAGCGGGGCACACAGGATATATGTTGTAAAAAGGAATTGCCAAAGTTATTAGCTTATGGGGTAGTTAAGGGTTGTTTTTTAAATCCTGATACTGTGTTTGAACAAGCAGAGTGGAGGAAGTTTGGGGACAAATTATTTGATGAAGTAATTAGTGATGATAAAATAGCAAAAAAATTGATGAAGCCATGGAGGGCGGTAACTAATGCATTAGCAACACATCAAGCTGAACAAAAAATAGCTGCTGCTGCAACAGAACGATTAGGATCATCCAGTCAGAAGGGGGGGGCTTCTGCTTCTTCCTCTACTCAGCAAAGAGCTGAGGAACAAGCTTACCCCTCTCCACCATCATATAGAACAGTTATAATTCCACAAGGGACTTCGGTACCCATATCAGGGGAAGAAGAACCTTCACAGTCACAGCCACCGACAGCTCCGCCTGTACCTCCGCCCGTACAATCAGAGAATAAAGAAAGGGTGGGTGAGGAGTCAGGTACAAATTCATTCTCAACAAGTCCATTTAAAATCAATATACAGGACAGGGAGGAGACATGGAAAAAAATAGCACATGAAGCAATGAAGGAAGGGAATCTTGAAGTAGCAGCACAAATAACAACAGCCTATCCGGTGGTGTATTCACCTCCAGATGCACAGGGAAATGTACAGGCTCAGTTGACTAATTTAGATTGGAAACTATTAACACAATTACGATCTACAGTAAATGAGTCTGGATTAAAGGGAGAACCTACTCGTCAAATGTTAGACTATATTTGGGGGACAAATATTTTGCTCCCAGGAGATATTCGTAGCATAATGAAACTAATCTTGACACAGCATCAACAACTTTTGTTTAATGCATATTGGCATGGTATCTGTCAAGAAGAGGTAGCGATAATACGCGCGCCTGGGGATCCCTTGTATGGTGTTACATTAGACGAATTACTGGGCATGGGACCATATTTTAGAACAGAGGCGCAGGCACTCTTGGGACCAGACAAAGCTAAGGTATCAATGAATCTAGCCAGAAGAGCATTAGAACAAATTAGAGAGCCAGGGGGAATGCCGTCCTACATGGGAATTAAACAGGGCAGGGAGGAACCATTCGGGTTGTTTATCGATCGGGTAGCAAATGCGATACAAGCAGCGGGAGTTCCTGATTATCTTAAAGGCACTATACTAAAGCAATGTGCACTCCAAAATTGTAACCCTTCAACTCGTAGTATATTAGCTACGTTACCGAGTACTTGGACAATAGAGGAAGGATTGGAAAGAATGTCTCAGGTACCTGTAGGCCCACAGACTATGTTAGTAGAAGCAGTAAAACAATTAGGTGATAATGTGAAAGAACAGTCAAAAGTATTTGCAGCCCTTGCTCCTTTGCAAACCCCCGGTGGACGAGTATCGACACCGCAATATCGTTGTTTTCGATGTGGTGTTGCGGGACACATTAGACGGAACTGCAAAATAGAATCTGTGTGGTGCCAAAATTGTCAAACAAATACTCACAGCACTTCAGCATGCCGCCGAAATGCGTCGGGAAACGGCCGGAGCAGCGGGAGGAGCCGCCCCGCGACGACACAAAAAGTGGCTTTTACGACAACGGCAGCGACGGCAACAGCACCAGCACCAGCTGCGACGAATCCCTTTTTCTCCGACCAGCCACCAGAGGGAGCCTCGGCCTGGATTTGGCAACCGCAGTCGATGTGACTTTATTGGATTCGAGACCCACCAGGATAAAAACAGGACTTATTGGACCAGTTATTGTTAATAAGGAACCTGTGGGAGCTTTGTTAATAGGGAGATCGTCTGCCACCATGAATGGATTACAAATATTAACTGGACTTATTGACAAGGATTACTTTGGGGAAATACAAATTATGGTTTCTGCAATGTTTCCTCCAATTCATGTGCCGAAAGGCACAAAAATAGCACAGTTGATCCCATTGCCTCATCTTGCTGAATCATTAGCATCGGAATCTGCAAAGCATCGAGGACTGGGAGCATTTGGCTCCACGGGAAAAGTGGCTTTGTTGACACTTGGTATGCGACACAGACCATGACAAAAAGTCACTGTGTGTTTAAAGGATGAGAAAATACAGATTGAGGCATTGTTGGACACTGGTGCTGATGTATCTATAATCAGCACAAAGGATTGGCCCTCACATTGGCCTACATTTGAGTCTAATGCCACAGTTTCGGGAGTAGGAGGTATGACTCTTGCTCGTCGGTCACCAGTGCTACAATGGACAATAGGTGATAAGGTGGTACAATGCAGTGTCTCCATCTTATCACTACCTGAAGGAGTACAAGCGCTGGTAGGGCGAGATATCCTTGCCCAAATGGGAGCAATTTCTCACGACAGATCATCAAAATTTTTAGGTGTGGCCATTGCTTGGACTTTCCCGATCCCACTTAAATGGAAAACTGATGAACCTGTATGGGTTGAGCAGTGGCCACTAAAACGGGAAAGTCTTTTACATGCTCATAAATTAGTACAGGAACAGTATCAACAAGGGCATTTGAGACTGTCAACAAGCCCTTGGAATACTCCGATTTTTGTGATTCCCAAAAAATCAGGGAAATACCGTTTGCTACATGACTTACGAGCAGTTAATAATCAGATGTGTGCTATGGGAGCACTGCAACCTGGATTACCTAATCCTGCTATGATACCAGAAGGGTGGAAATTACTAATTGTGGATCTCAAGGACTGCTTTTTTACAATTGCATTACATGACAATGATAAACAGAGGTTTGCTTTTACACTTCCTGCTATAAATCGTGAAGGACCGTATCAGAGATTTGAATGGACTGTGTTGCCTCAGGGCATGCGTAATTCACCTACCTTATGTCAGCTCTATGTTGATGCAGCACTTCAATCAATTCGCCGCGCATGGCCAAAAACAATTATTTACCATTACATGGACGATATTTTGCTAGCCCAGGAGGAGATATTTTCCTTACAGCAGAAAAATGCCCTGGCAGCTGCTCTTAAACAAATGGGACTGGTAATTGCACCAGAAAAAATTCAGGAGACAAGCCCTTGGAAATACTTAGGGTGGAAAATCACAGATTCTACTATTCAGCCTCAGAAACTTACTATCCAATCGAACATCACAACTCTCAATGATGCTCAAAAACTGCTGGGAGATTTACAGTGGATTAGGCCAGTGGTCGGAATTCCAAATGAACTGTTGAATTCCCTTCGACCTTTATTAAAAGGAACTGATCCTGCCGCAAAGGTGACATTATCAGAACAACAGTCGGAAATATTACAACAAATTGCATCATTGATCACAACGCGTGTCACACATCGACGCATACCTGACAGGCCACTGGATTTTACTGTTTTGTGTGGTCCACAATACTTGATGGGTGCTATCACACAGCAAAAAATAAAAACGGGGGAAAAGGAAATGGAAACTGTGGTATTGGAGTGGACAGCTCCCCCATTGCAACCCCGAAGAACAATTCAAGAAAAAATTGACACGCTGTCAGAATTAATAAAGAAAGGAAGAAATCGGATACTACAAATAGACGGAGTTCCACCAAGTACAATCTGGCTACCAATAAAGCCAGGTGACTTGGAATGGTACATACAGAATTCTGAAAAACTACAAGCTGCATTATTACAGGATGGTGCCACAATAGTGGCAAAGACATTACAATCAACTATATTGTCATGGATGGAAAACCAAGCATGGATAACCCAGCCCAAGCGGTCGGATTCTCCGTTAGCAGATGCAGTAACTGTTTTCACGGACGCTGGGAAGCGCTCCAAGTCTGCTGCAATAACATGGAAAGACGAACAAGGCTGGCAACACCAAATTTTAAAGGGCCAGGACAACGATTCATTACAGACATTAGAGCTCTATGCGGTTGTGTGGACATTTATAAAATGGAAAGATGCCCCTTTAAATGTAGTATCTGATTCTCTGTATGTAGTAGGTATAGCTAATCGTATAGAGGACTCTGCTTTAAGAGATGTAAAAAATGAACGCCTTGCAGAACTATTAACTAGCTTACAGCTTGCTATAGCGCAGAGAAGCAAATCCTATGCGGTGATACATATACGAAGTCATCAATGGATGGAGGGACTGGGAGAAGGCAATGCTCGGGCGGATAAATTAGTTGCCGCTCCAGCCACTGAAGCGCCATTATCTCCCTTCTGTAGAGCTAGGGAGGCTCATGCTATTTTTCACCAGAATGCTAAGGGACTTGCGCGGGCTTACAAACTATCTAGAGCTGATGCACAAGCGATAGTAAAAGCTTGTCCAATATGTAGCAATTATAACTCAGGGGTGGGTCTCGGAGTCGGGACAAACCCAAGAGGGCTTAAAGCCAATGAAGTGTGGCAAATGGATGTCACTCATGTTCCAGCATTTGGACGATTGAAATATCTGCATGTAACAATAGACACTTATAGTCACATGATCTGGGCTACACCGCAGCCTGGGGAAAAAGTTCGGGATGTACGACGTCATCTTGCCAGTTGTTTTGCAGTAATGGGAGTACCACAGACTATAAAGACTGATAATGGTCCAGCCTATGTTAGTGGGCCATTCAAGCGATTCATGGAACTATGGGACATTAAACATATTACTGGTATTCCACATTCACCAACTGGTCAGGCTATTGTGGAAAGGGCTAATGGAACAGTTAAACAATATTTAGAAAAGTTTAAAGACATTATTGATGTTAGAGAAAGGGTAGACAAGACTCTATTTGTTCTAAATCATTTGTGTGTTTTTGGGGAACATGACGAACCACCTGCAGCACGACATTATACCAAATCTGAAAATGATAATAAATGTGCTATGAGAGTATTGTACAGAGATATGAAAACAGGGCAATGGTTAGGGCCTGCTGATGTGATTTATGTGGGACGAGGTTATGTATGTGTCTCTTCCCCTACAGGTCCAACCTGGGTGCCTAGTCGGTGTGTAAAGCCAGCCATCAAGAAAGAAGAGGATGACAACGATCATGGCTGAAGTAACAGAACAAGGGACTTTGATTATGCTATCAGTTATAATAATGGCTGGACATGGTAATGCTATCTTAGGGAAGATTGACCCTCAGCAGAATATGTGGGTCACCTGGGCTAATGAAACCAGACAGAGTTCATTTTGTCTGTCTCTTGCTTCTGCATCTGATCCTTTTAGAACGTGCTTATTTGGGGTCCCAATAGGGGATCCAAAGGAACTGAGTGAAATGTTAGCACCATATTCTGCCAGTGTTACTTTACTCACTAGATCCTTTTCTGCTAATGTCTCGGATGGAGTAGTTGCTGCCTTGCAAGCTCTTAATAACTCATTGCCATGGGACCCTCAAGAACTGGATCTCCTGGGGTCTGTGGTAGTGGGGAATAGCAGTAGTAACTGGACACAAACATGCTTTGTACTCCATGAAGGGAAACAAAATAAAGCGCACTGGACCAACATAACATCGAGGACCCCTGGATTTGAGGCCAATGGACATTACTGTGGATGGAACAACACCGGGAACATTAGTGTACCATTTGGGGCGTATGAAATAGGTGACACCAATTCGATCTGGTTTCAAAGTCAGGCCAAAGCTTTGCCACCTGGCATGTTTTTAATCTGTGGGGACCGTGCATGGCAAGGAATACCAGCTAATGCTTTTGGGGGACCGTGTTACCTAGGACGACTCACACTTTTCGTTCCAGATTTGCACTCGTGGCAGAACTCGACAGGGAGCAGAAGAATTAAACGAGAATTAAAAACTTTGGGTTCTGACTGCAATGATAATGTAGAATTGTGGGGTCCAGCAAAAAGATTCTTTGCTTCTTTAGTGCCTGGTGTGGGAACTGCACACGCTTTGACTAACATTAATAGGCTTGCTTGTTGGGCTGTTAAACAATCAAATGTAACAACACAAGTTCTTTCTGAAATGTCGCAAGATATGGGGAGCATAAGACATGCTGTGTTACAAAATAGAGCTGCAATTGATTCCTTGCTACTAGCTCAAGGACATGGGTGTGAAGATGTAGAAGGAATGTGTTGCTTTAATCTCTCTGATCATGGGCAATCAATTCACAATCAATTAAAATGGTTAATGGATCATACACAAAAAATTACGATACAGAATAATTGGTTTGATGAGTGGCTTAAATCTGTCTTTGGAAATGTAGGGGGATGGGTTTTTAACTTAATCAAAGAGGGACTTCGCTTTTTGCTTATAATTGTATTGATTATAATTGCTGCGCAGGTAGTCTTTAGCTGCTTATCTAGGAAACTAGAACAACTCACAAAGAAGGTGTTTGTAGCCCAAAATAAAAACGGGGGAATTGTGGAGGAATGGGTAAGTGAAGTAGGTCATGTGGATGTTGAGCAGCTGGGAGGCCGCGAGGTAACAAAGTATCGAACACAGCTCAAATGAGCCTGAGAAAATACGTAAATGCAGCCTGGGAAGGAATGTAAGTTCTGGGAGGTTTTAGAGGGGTTTCAGGGAGGTTTCAGGTACAAGAACGTGATATCTGTTGGTATGCTGGGAAAGTACTAACTGTGTTATTTTGGTGGGAAACTAGCTGATAGAATAGAGAAATGCAGTAACCAATCATGAGCTTAGCTTTTGCAATATGTATGAGCAATATATTGAATTAGATAAAAGACGACTGAGCTATCCAATAAATCGAAGTTCACTGATCACTCATATTGAGCGTCTGTGCCTTCCTTCCGTCGACAACAAATGGTTTCGCAACAGCGAATTAGGCTTTTAACGCATTTTCTGTGGCCCGAATTTTCAGTCGACTGCCAGGCGGGCCAGGGCTATATTTAGGGTTGCTGTGAAAGAGCAAATACGGAGGGTCCAGTTGCATGTGGGGCTGCGTTAAGGCTCCCCTGGGGAGTTCAGTTGTACCCAAAGCCTTCCTCTGGGGGCACTTTTGGATGGGCGAATTAGGCTTTTAACGCATTTTCTGGGGCCCGAGTTTTCAGTCGACTGTCCAGGCGGGCCAGGGTTATATTTAGGGTTGCTGTGAAAGAGTGAACCCGGAGGGTCCAGTTGCATGTGGGGCTGCATAAAGGCTCCCCTTGGGAATTCACTTGTACCCAAAGCCTTCCTTTGGGGGAACTTCTGGATGGGTGAATGGGGGTTGAAACGCTTTTTCTGTGGCCCGAGTTTTCAGTTTTCTTCCCTGCTGGCTAGGGTTATATTTAGGGTTGCTTGTAAACAGCGAACACGGGGGGTCCAGTTGCGTATGGGCCTGCATAAAGGCTCCCCTGGGGAGTTCACTTGTACCCAAAGCCTTCCTTTGGGGGCACTTTTGGATAGTCGAAATGGACTTGTAGCACGTTTTCTGGGGCCCGATTTTTCAGTCGTCTGC